TGGGAGCCACTTTAGCTCTGCAAGTGGAAGTGACACCTAAGTTTCAAACTTTTACAGCTTTTTCTTTACCTTGTTATCTACCTAACTAGTAAAACTGTGCTATGATGACTCAGTTCTCAATTTATTTGTGAGCCCTTATTTGGTCAAGGAATTCTATGTTCTCATTTTTTGCGCTGATTTCTGAAGTGTGGCGGCTTCATTCCTCAGGCATTGAGTAGGTTTTGTCTGTTTCAGGAACTGAAAGAAAATCCCATTTCTCTGGCATTTGAGGGGGAGACAGAAGTGGCATATTGGGTGCTGTCTGGTTTCTTGGCTAAGTAAGATGAGATAGTAAATGTTGCCAGATTATTGAGATATTAAAAAAGGATGGTTTAAATGTTTTCTTCTGCGTTAGGCACCAGTTGGCTAACTGAGCAGTATAGTTTCTTTTCTTCTCTTTGAGGTGCTGGAGAAAAATATTTCATGGCCAGAGGCCTGTGGGATGCCAGGGTTTCAGTGGGGAAGTGACAAGGAAAGGAGAAGCAGTTTCTATTCATTGACTCAGAGATCCAGGATAAAATTTTCATTCAAGACTTTGGCAAAATTCCCAACAATTTTAGTGGGACATGAGTTCACACACAGTCTGTACTTGTTAGGTTATTACTCAGGGTGTACTCATGTAGAATAACTTGTAATTTTGTGATAGACTGTAAGTGGAGTGAGTATTAGGAGAAAAGGGGAAGATTTGGCTTTCCTAATAAAAGGATAGTGATCATCACCTTTTCTTTCCAGCTGCTGTGTGACTTGAGAGCAGTTTAGTTTACTTGGCAGGTGAGAGTTTTGCAGCATTATTTGTTGAAGAAGATATTTCCCAAAGTGATACAGATTACGTGTGTAAATCTGCCCTTTGTTGGGTGAATTATTACGAAGGCAGTTTTTCAAATGTACTACATTTACTAAACTATTAGGCTTTGTTTTTTATCATGTAAATGATATATACTGTGAGTTTCCTGTACATACAATTAAATTTAGAATTTTCACAACACTTAAGATGATGTTAATGCAGACCTGTACCAGAAAATGTTTCAGGACCATAATACATGAAACATCATGTTCTCATATATCAGTATAAAGATATATTAATATATTAATATGGTTATCTGGAGCATACAGGACTGTAGGGCAACAATAACATAAGTGAAAACAAATATGAAATGCATATGATGACTGGAGAAAAATGTTTCAATAATGCAAACAAATAATGAATGAATTATAAGATTTACTTAACCCCTCCATTGTGGTTAAGAGCTGATATTCCAATTATTTTAATTTTTAATACCTTTGACAGATAAATAAAATGCCTTCACTGTGCACATAATGCTATTCTTGAGAAATCCAACATGAAGTGCAAGTACAGAAATAAAAATAATAAGGAAAATTTAAATATAAAAATTTAAATATGTAAATTCCAATAGAATATGCAAATAAATCACTATATCTTTTGAACAGCTACTGGAAAAAATAAAGGAAAGAATACATGCTTGTCAAATATGCAGTATAAATAAATAATTTAGGTGAAAATGGATGACTAGATATAACAAAGAGACGACCAAATAATGAAGGGCTAAAGGGTGGTTGTTACATCTGATGTACTTCATTGTATATTGTAAGTAATTGCTATCCATAAAAATTTCCATGGCTTCTGTATAAGAAAAAGAGACAATTTGACAGGCAACACTAGTAGTAAGCGACAGCAAGTACAAATCCTTGGCAACTGTCATTATCCTGCTGTTGAATTCACATCCAAAACTGTGTGATAACTTTGACCTGTATAGCTGTTACTGAACCAACGTCTGTTTAAGTAACTGTATTTTTTACTTACGGAAAATAATATTAGCCATGTGCAGATTTATGTCTTAGAAAACTATATGGACTATTTACTTTTCTTTAGTATACTGTTTCCTATTTAAAGAAGAAATATGGAGAAACGTGCTGTAGTTAGACGATAATGAATAATTAGAGAATTACACTATAGCAACAGAATAAAAATTTTAATCTGATGTAGCTACAGAATTTGAGCATATAGAACTAACTGAAAGTAGAAGTTCCTTTTGTAATAATTACAAAAAGATTTCAGTGTTTGGCCATGAATAAACAATAATTTAATTACTTTTAAATGGGAAAAAACTTGTTAGAGCTCTTTAGATTTTAGTTTTTTTCATTTCTTTTCCCATTTAAATTTCTGGTTTAAAAATATTTTCTCTTTGTATCTCTATCTGGACAGCTTTGCTTGTGCTGTAAAAATAGGATCACACAGTCTTTGTGTTAGCATCCAGCAAAATTTACCATTGACTAAGAAGAAATTTTGCTTTAATATGGAGTACCAAGCTTTTTTTTTACTGACTAGTGAATGCCATTTCACATTGTCTCTTTCATGAGGTTTCCAGATATTAGGACTTTCATTTTATGTTGTTTAATCTCCAGAAGAATGGTCACCAGGGTTACATCTAAATTTGAGTTTTTTCAAAGTATAGAACAGCTCAGCAGTGCAAGAGTAAGATTACTCTTGGTAATTGCATGCTTGCATTTTCTGTTTGAAACCACCTCAGTTAAGGTCTTGGAGTGTATGCACAAGTACCCTGAGGTTTACATACCCTGTACGTATAAATAGTTGTTATGATGGTGGGAAATTTTAAGAAAAAACTGGACAAGGACTAGGGAACAATAATAGTAGTGTTCTTGTAGGTATTTTACTTGTATTGTGTAATTTAGTGACAAGAATAGGTAGTATATATTGTTGAACTTACATAATGGTTTACTTCTAACATAAACAAGATGATTCCTAGTTAATACTAACAATACTATTAATATTTCATCAAAATAGTTCATAAGGAGTAAGGATGCTATCTGCTGAAGAAAGAAGTTATCTACAGAATAAATAATGGCAATTCATAGATTTTGTTTCAAGGATTTTGTTTCTGGTTTTGTAGTTATTTTCTGCTCTTGAAGTGGGTAACAAAATGGTCTTTTAAGAAAAAGAGTATTTACAAAAAATAATGTTGTCTTGTTGTCACTAGTGAGAAATCAAAAGTGTAATGTGTTCAGACTCATAATACTAAAAAGAGTTTTCTTCGATTGCTCCAATATTTAGTGGTAGTATATTAGTTTAAGAATTTCCTAGGTAAACGTATTGCAATACACGTAGACATATCTTGAAGTTCACGTTTGTTGTGACATAATTTTTATAATTTATAATGGGAATATTCTGTCGCTTAAGAATTATTTGAATGCGAAAGAAGAATGAGGGCTTGATCTCATCCGATTCCTTTCTTGCTTCTTCTTGATCTTTGATACTGCTATTGGCACACTTATACTTGTGCTGATTTGGATCTTCCAAAGACTGGATAAAATTAGATTGTGTGATCTTCATATGGGTGATTATTCCGTCTAGACTTCTGGCCCACGGTATAAAGTAATTTTGTGCCATTAATGGTAGCCTCAAATTGAAAGTTGGAGGCTTTTGTTCTCATTATTTTTAATTTTTTTTATGCAAATAAAACCTTTTTTTTGTTTAGTTTTATGAGATAATTTAATGTTCATTTTGTGTGAAGGAAGGCTAGCGCAGTCTTAGTGCTATTGCGATATAGTATAGCTGAAATATGTACTGTACTTCACCATAATCCTGTCCTACAGCACTTTATACAATTCCCATTCTGATCCTAGCTTGTGCAAAGATTAATTGAGCTGAATTCTGAAATAATTTTATAGTTTGCAGAAACAAGAATCAGGATTAAACCATTAACACAGTTTCATCAGGTGTTTTCCAACTTTAATTAAACTGTTGTAGGCGTCTCTGAACTCCTTACAGTCAGTCATTAATAATTTAAAGTAATTGAAAGACCAGAGAAAAATAATAAAATGTTAACTATATTTATCATATTTCTGTTTCAGAAAATGTCTCCCTCCCTATGCAAAAATAGCTGTTAAAAATATTGAAGGGAAGCAAAGCTCTAGCAACTTCTGTTTGCCCATAACATTCGCCTGCAATCAGCAATGGTATCAAGAAGGTCAAGACTTCAGGATTGTTCTACACATCAAACAAAATCAGTTCAGAGCTGTGATGGAGTATCAGACATATAGACAGCTACAAATCAAGCAGTACAGACAATTTCTGTCTTATATCACCATCCAAGAGAAACAGAGCTGAAAGTGTTCCCACAGGTCAACTAAGGTAATCAAAGCTCTTCTCTGTTGCATTTAATCATGACTGCTGCAGTTCAGTCACCTTGTAATGATCATTCAGTTGATATTCTAAAACAGACCTTGATAATTTTATAAAGATTTCTTGACCTAAAAAATTCTTGGAGTATGTCCTTTTTAAAACCATATTGATTTCATAAAACATTTCTGAAAGACACATAAAATGACAATAAACCAGGCATACCAATTTGCTTTACAAATTTTTAATAGACTTAACAATAGGTAGGTAATATCCATCAAGTTTACCCTTTGTGTTTCTCCATAATTAGTCCAAAATTAATTGATTCCATCTGTCTGGAAAATCCAAGAGAACCATTGGATTTTCCAATGTACCATAAAGGTGATTAAAGTGAAGACATAAAGGTGATTAAAATGAAGACCTGATGAACAGAAGTATATTTTAGTGTGTTTAATTTGGATCTTCTCATCAAAAGTTTTTTATTGTTAGTGTCTTCTATTTTGAGTAGGTAAATTGTTGTAAACTGAGACAAACCTAGATGATTATAGTTATCATAGTATCCCCTCATTTGTATGCAGACATCCCCTCAAGTAGGATACAAGTGGCACTTAAATATCTTTTCTGTAAATGTTTTCTGAAAGTGCTTTATCCAAAACTGTTAAAATATTTGTAATTGCTAATTTTGTATGATAAGACATATATTTTAATGTATTTGTCCCTTGGTGTATGAAAGTCTTAAACTCTAAAACCGAAAAGAATGTAATTGCGTTTTAAGGGGGCCACATTCTGGCTTTCTTATTTATATAGTTTAGTACTCAACACTGAAGTAGCTATGCTGATTTAATACTGTGGCTTGCTTTAGAAATGCTAAAAAGAATATAAAAAAGCTAGGATTCTTATGTGGTCATTTTGTCATTCAAGAAATGTGGAAACTGTGAAATATGTGAGATTACCTACGTGCCATCATTGTTTAAGTGAAGTATCTGTTCAATGCTAATTGAAATAAATGGAAAAATTTCCAAGGTTTTTCATGGAAGAGAAATTAAAATCATAGGCCTCAAAGCAGTTCCGAGTTCTGCATGGGAACCTCTTGTTGCAGGCTAGGACAGGGACCATATGTCACAAATGTTCTTGCTGAAGTATGACATTTTGTTATAAATCTGCTCCTCCCCCCCCCTTCTTTTTAAAAGCAGTCTTACTGTGGTATTATTCAGTAGTTGTCTGTGGTAGGAACATTTTGAAATAGTATTATGATTTTTTTAAATTGAGTATTAGTTTATTTAATTTTATTCTGGCAGCTGCACTGAATATATTTGGCTATCTGGGAAACAGAAACAATTAACAATAAGCCCCACTCTGCAGTCACTGTACAGACATAATTGCTGTCAATTTGATTGAAATTTTGCCTGAGAAAAGACAGTCATCAGTTCTTACCTTTTAAACTAGAAGCAATAATCTACATAGTATGCACTGAAGGCACTCTTTATTTACGAGTTTTCTCAGAATCATCAATTTTTTTTGCTATGTTTCTTTGTGCTGATAGATTTTGAAAAATACTTTTAAAATTAGGTGATTTATTTTCTTATGAAATTCTTAAAGTATTGTATAAAAGGATTTCATACTGGAATTAAGCAACTGCTTTCCACGTATTCTGGCAGTTCTGAATAAACTCAATTTGGGATAGATTAAGTCTATTTTGCTTATAGCAGTGCAATTTCTCTGTATTTTCTATATTTATTACTTAGGCACTGCAAACTAAATTCTTATACTGTGAAGAATTTTAATGATCATATGTTCAGATTGTCTTTTCCCACAATTATTACAGAAGTTCTAAAAAACAAGTAAAAAAATATAAATAGGATATGTTGAATTGCTTCTTTAATTTCCTAAACTGGGTTTTTTTCAACAGAATTAACTGTGTTCTCTGTTTCAAAACTCTGGCATGTCCAGAGGAAATTTGAAGTGTCCAAAGTTATTAAACAGCTGCCAAACGTAATCAAAGTCATAGCTTACAAAAATGGCACAAGAAAGATCTGTGCTAAAGTTCCTGTGTCCTTAATTCAGCCAGTAATCTCTAATGTAAGTTTTCTTGTGTGCATAAAGTTTGTTTGTAGCTTTTGCTTCAAACCCTAATGTAAATCCTTTTTTCCTTTGAAATAAGCTTACATGAAACTTTTCTTCCTTTTCCTATGCTGAAAATGTGTGACTTGTTAAAAATTCTTATAAATGCTAAGTGAAATAAGTTGCAGCATAACATACAGTATTATATAACATTAAAAGGCAAGAGCACAATAATTTTGAACCCATCTTTTTAAGGTTATGTGTTTTTTCTCATATTGTTATCCTGTGATTTCTAGTAATAATCACTGAAATACTAAGTGACTTGTAGTGCAGTTACTATGATTGGTAACCTAGTTGGGAGTGGAATTTTTATTTCCATTTTTATTTTATCTGACTGAATATTGATCATAAAATAAATATATTTGTAATCAGTATTCCTTACCTCTTGCATTCATTTAGCTGCTGGAGGAGGGCTTTGAAAAGCTGAATCTGAACATGGCTGCACGATGAGCATTCTTGGCAGACGGCACTGAAGCACTAGAACCTAAAGACGTACCCCATGATGCCAACGTTTATATTTCAACTGGAGAGACCTTTTTATATCCATTCAAAAAAATAAAAGGTAAAAAAAAGAAAACAAAACTGAACTCCCAGCAAATGGCTTAAGGGGTGCAATTAAAAATGATTTTCGTCCTGTCTTTTTGCATGGTTTAACAAAACTAATGTTTACTCATTTACAGCTCAGTAAGAGGATAATGTGCTTAATGAAAGAAAAATCTACTGACAGCTACGTTTATTGCCCTTCATTAGCATTGGTACTTAATTTAATATAGATCTGAATAGACATTAGGGAGCCTGCAGGAGGTTAAATGGTGAAAATGTAAAGAGATTATTGAATTTACTGTTTAGTTTTAGTGACATCAAACAGATATAATTAATTAGACTTATTCCACTAGCAAAAATAATCCAGAATGTAAGATTGGATTCATTAATGCCATTGTTTAAAAATTTTTGAAAGTTTACCAACTTTACTATGCTTTATTAATATTAGATTCTTTGGTAAGAGCATTATTAAAATTTTTCTTCTTTCCTTCTCATTCCTTTACCAATCTGGTAATTATGTTTTATTTTTCACAAGGGAGGAAAACTATTTCTAAATCCTTTACAGTTTCAATGTGAATGTAAATGTTTTGTTCTGTCATAATTTAAGATCATGAAGTACGTTGTGAGATTTCTGCAGCAAATTGTGGTAACATTTTATAATATTTGCTTCAGTGGGGTTCAGTATCATATTCAAGATCCCAATCGGGTATTTCATTTATCTATTAATTCAAGTGGCACTTGTGATAAAGAACTTTATAAGCTAACATATAATAAAAAAGTAAAATTATCATTAGGATAGTGTATGTGTAGGTAGGAATCTAAAATTCCAGTGTACAATTCCAATAAGAAATGCAAGTAAGATAAACTGTTTAACGTTATATGAAACTTTCCAATTTGTATAATCTTGTAATAGAAAAATGTAATATGTTTTTTTAAAAGTTAGGGATAGCAAAGAAGAAAAACAAAAGACAAATCATCAAACTAGTGTGTGTATTTTTTGTATATGTGGTATATATTATATATAGAGATTTCTTTGCACCTTTGGGCATTTTTTTTTTCTTACGTACTTTCTTCAGAAAAAACCCTTGGGTTTTATATTTCTACATAGCTTTTAAATAGCATTTGTTGACTTGGGAAGTATGAGGAGACATAATTTAGTGTCAAATATTTCATTCTGAATTTCAAAATAAACAATCTTTTGCTAATTCTTTTACAGATTGGTATTGCCTAGTACAGATACACTTCAAGAAGATATCTGTTTAGTACTCATTACTGGCTATTTGCCTAAGAAAATTACGATAACATAGCTCTCTCTATACACATAAAAATCTAATCTTAGTAGAGGCTTTATGATATGTCGTATAATTAAAGGTATATTTCTATATTCATGGAGGTATTAATGAATGAAACATGTTAGTAAGTCTATGACTTACATAAGCATTTTTATATATGATAAGCTGTTGTTTATAACATAAAAATTATTCTTAGTATGATACAGGTGATCCATTCACTGGAATGGCTATAATGAATGGCCTGTATATTCAGTAAAAGGAACAGATCTTTGTACTTGTTGTTACAGAAGTATATGATAAAACTGCTATTAGTATTGTGTGAATCATTGAAACAATCCTATTATTGCAATATTTTTATATAGGCACTGCTATAATTTGTTACAAAGTCTTCACTGGTACTCTTATTATAGTTTCTCCATACATCTGACTTGAGCGTTACGAGAGATTTTCAAATTCATTAAGCGAGTCTTTTTTTCTTTCTCTCATTTTCCTCTTGCAAGCCAAGTTCAAAACAAAAACTTCTGTGCTTTGTTTGCATATCTTTGGCTGTGTTTCATTGTGACATGCACTGCTGTTCTTTTAGCACCAAAATGTTGGCACACATTACTGAAAATTTCACACCATCTCTTGCTGGATCAGCAAGCTTAACCTACCAAAATCTGGTGTTGTTGAATGGTTTTTGACTGATAATCAATCTTTTTGCTGCTCGACAGTTGTTGCTGGGACACAGACTAGAGCAGGTGGCAGATGTGCCTTGTCTTTTGAGAAAAGGAGTAGGTGAGCTTGGGCACAGAGTAACATATTGTGTGTCCATTAAAAGGGTAAGTATAACAGGAAAAAGTCACTACTATGAGTAGAAAAGCCACCAATACCAGAAAATAGGCATTTTTACACCCATGTTTACAAGTTTAATAGAACTGGAAAAAGACAGTTAATAGCGTAGACTTCCATGTGCTCAAAAATCAAAACAGATGTTAAGCACATTTATGAATGTTCTATATAATATTCTGTAGCACTTTTTTTTCTTATATATCTTTATTTATATGTAGCATGAATGGACAATGTATACATTTTCAAAAAGCTACAATATATTGAAGATAGGTTTTAGAGATGTATAGACATAGAGATAGACGGTACGTATTTTATACTTTCTTTCTCTAGCCCACAACTGGGAAGAAAGCGTAGAGTAGAATGACTTGTCAGTATAAACATGCTGATTGCTGCATTTGAGTCCTTAACGCATAGATAACAAGGTCAAATGTCAGTAGTAAATCCTTTTTGCATGGGAATGGACAGTGATATACTGTAAAGCCCCAACCTGCAAATATGTACAAGTGATCCCATGGAAATCAGAGAGACGTTTTACATGTGTAGTTACAGATAAATATTTGCAAGATCAGCACCTTCGTGAAAATCTGTATTTGAAGTACTGTATAAATTACAACGTCTGTCAGAATTATATCATCTTGCATATACTTTTATTGCTTCAAGTGGTATCAATACCTGGATAAAATATAATTCCCAGTGATGTTGGTGTCTTGGTTTATTTGGGTTTATTCACCTCCTCATCTTTCTGACATATTAAAATTTGTATTGAGTTTTTGATTAAATGAATAAGGATTCAAACATAGGCTGTCAAATTGCATGATATGGGATAAAAATTGAAAGCCATTGCTTCTGTTGATTTAAATCAATATTTATAATAAATACATGTGACATCTGTTATAAGGTGCCATTCCAACAGAAGTTTAGCAAACAAAAATATATCAAGTCTCAAGCATTCAAAACATATTTTTTTTGGTAGTATTGTGGAACTAGTGTGTTGCAGAACTGTGCCAAAGAGTTAATGCTCTGTAGTATGTTGTTCTTCCATGTAATGTATGTATGGTGGCAATCAATGGTTGTATTTAATTAATTGTTCAGTGGAAATATATGGGACACTATGTACTTCAGTGTTTGTTTGCTGACACTTCTATATTTAGTGGCCACTGAATTTTAAAATATGTTGGATGTTCTTATTTATTCTTTTTAATACCTTGTGTTTCTCCTGTCAGCTTTTATTGTACCCCCTTTGCACACTTCTTTGCGACTGAGTTTCAGGTGTCTGCTATGTACTGCTTCATTTTTTCTTCATTAGTTCCCAATTTCTTAAACTGGTACTAATTTCTTTCTATTTAATTTCATTCTAGTGACATTAGCAACCTTGCCCAATAAAACAATCAATTAGCTATCACTCCTTCATAAAAAGTTTGCACATTTTATCTGTCTTGCTCTTGTGGAAAATACGGCTGCTTCTAAACTTCAGCTTCCAATCAGTAATTTTTCAGTTTCTGTGTTTGTCCTTTACTGTGATCTTGCTTCAGAGTTGCTAAGTTGGAGACAAAGGAGTTTTGGCTGTTCAATCGATTGTAGTCTTAGAGTGCAATCCAAAACCAGTTATGCTCATGTCTAATTCACTGTACTGCGGAGTGTCACATCAGTGACTTCTGCAGGAGCCTTCAGAGCAGTGAAGCTCGGTATTTATACTGATATATGACTATACTTACTAGAGCTCCACTGACTATAATGGAAACTAAGATGACTAGCTCAGATATGTCTAATTTACAAGTAGACATCTAGTTTAGCTGTGCTGATCTTAAACTGAGTCGCTTCTTAAAGACAGCATTTTGGCCAAAATGCTGCTGTTGATATGCCATGCTCACGTATTTTTTGTAAGTCATACTGACAAGGATTCCTTGCGTGGAGCATGGTCCACTTCACTGATCCCATTGGCGCTTCATCTGATTATTCATCTTATTACCCAGGTGCAGAGTGTTGTTTATGACCCACCTCCAGCTCTCATTCTGTGAATCACTATAGTAGAAGAACACCTGATATGGAAAAAATTAGTACATAAATGTTCAGTTTTTTACTGGTTAGCCAAAATGTCTGTACTCTTTGATAAAGAGTTATGTTTGTAGGATGTGTATGTTTCCAGTACTGTTTGCTAAAAGTAAAACTAAAACTAATGAATAAGATTTTATGTCTTTTGTATAATGCACTGTGACAATGAGGCTGCTGGAAAAAGTAATCCATGTTTAGTGTTCTTAATGCTGCATTTCAGGTCTGTGTTTAAATGAAGAGATAAAGATTTTTTTGTTTATTGTTTTTTAAATATCATGTGATCCACAAAATGAAGTAATTTACCAAAACAAGTTCCGAATGAAAAGAAAGTGTGTGAACACATTTAGAATAGGACATCTTTTCAACACAGAGTAAGTATAAGGGAAATGATGGCTTCTTACCATTCTAGTTATTGACTGATTTGGAAATGTTTCAATTCTAAGCAGCATTCTAAATAATATAGGGCTTTTTTCTGATCAACACATAAAAACTGAAGTTGTTACATTTTAATTTGCAGAAAAAAAATGCATCTCCTCTATGAACTTGAAGTTCATACGTTTTATTACAATTTTTTCCTGTAATTACTGTATTATATGTTATTATTTCAGTGCATTAGTACTGGAATTTTGACCTGGAATAGGAGTATGCTGTAACAACTATTCATAAAAATATGCAGAAATAGGTATCTCATCGTATATTATGAGCTCATCCATCTTATAACAGGTTGAAGATCTTAATATATAAAACAGATTTATTGCAAGCTGTAGAATTTTTTTCTCAAATCAATATATGTCAAAATAGAATTGAATACTTAGAAAATAGCTTGATCATATCCTAGAAGTTA